GTTTCTGCCTCTAATACCATCAGCTCACATGTGCTTATTATATATCAGATAATAGAGGGGCCTGCACAGCATTCTGTACAACAGCAGGTTTAACTGACTAATTTACAACTTCAAAAGCAGTGGGTGTTCAATTCCATCCCATTCTTGGGGTTTCTGACAAGCCACTCCAGGCGCTGCAGATCCAGTGCTCCAAGCTTTTCCCATTTTCTTGGTGAATTTTGAAACCAGAGCATGTCTCACCTTCGCAGTTCACTGCTGGGTGTCATATCTCTGGCTGCATCCTTCAAGGCAGCTTTAAATATCGATGTCTCACTTCACCACCGGGTCCACCCACTGTTTTTAAGCGGCTGGATCAAATTTAGGAGCAGTTTTGAGTTCACAGTGCAGTTCCCCACGTCTCCTCGTGCTCAGACTGTTTCCTGAGAGCCGCATGTGCAGCTCTGTCACACCCAGCTCACGGGCAGCTGGGGCTTGGCTCGGCTGTCCTGTGTGACACACACAAGTGACATGTGTGTGATACACAGGCAGGACACAGGTGACACCTCTAGGGCCTCGAGTACCCAGGCTGATAGACTGGAAAGGTTTATTCATGCTCTCCCACCCTCAGGATTTGTTTCACCAACAAAGACTCATTGGCAAGAAGCAGGTCCAAGCCTAACTACATCTTCTACCCAATTTCCTCTTTAACAAGGCAAAGTAAATATATTTCTGCTTTGAAATTGAGCAGCAATATTCTTCTCCCCTATTGCTTTCTAAATGAAGCTCCTGAAAGCCCTTTTTGAAGCCTTCCCAGTTTCATTTCCAGACCTGCTCCCCCCCCCTGTGCTCGGGAGAAATGGATTAAACAAGCCCTTTGAAGTGCAGCTGCCCGTGAGCTGCTCTGGGGCCAGCTCAGCTCAGCTTTCTGTGCCTCCTGGAAGCAGGACAGCGGCCACCAAAACTCCCAGGGCTGGACCTGCACAGACAGCAAAACACTGCCCCGGGGTGAGCTCTGCAACCCACCCGAGTCCCCGACAGCCAGGGCAGGCAGAGCCCACCCATGTCCCCTGCCAGCACAGAAAAGGCCTAAAACCTGTCAAGCATTGCACGACAGGCAAGTTCTGATATTGCAAATATTCATCTCCAGCTATTTCCAGTTAATGGAACAAAGCAAACTATCGAGAAAAATGGGAACATTACAGTAAAAACAACAACAAATTAAACTCTAATGCAATTAGAGAGCAATTAGGGATCTATCCTCTGGGAGCATTTTGGAACTCTGGGTCTTCCTCCAAATCTGATCTCTCTGCAACTTTATTCCCCTCTAGTTAATAACAGAGAAGTGAGTGGCACAGCTCCCCCCAGTCCCTGCAAAACGCCATCTCCTGCTCTGCAGGAGCAGGAGGTGGTGGCAGGTAAAGCACTCACACCTCTGGGCTGAGGAAGACGCAGCTGTCAGCAGAGCAGGGAGCAAAGGAGGAGCAGAAACCACCCCCTGTGTCTGCTGCAAGGTGACCAGAAATGCAAAGACCCAAATGCTCTTGTTCAAGGGTCGGGCTGAGCAGCCACGAGCCGACAGCGGAGCACAAGCAACCCTGGAAAACCCTTTGTTTTCCTGTGCACAGCTCCAGCACGAGCCACAGCCCGGAAAAATATGTATTTAATTCCTTTGGACTTTTTAAACGTACTCACATACACGCCTAGAGATAAGCACTGCTTAACCAAACCTCCCCAGCTGGCTGCAGGACGGAGCAGGGCAGCCTTTGGGCACTGGACCCTGCTGTGCCCTGGGCAGGGCACAGGGAGCCCTCAGCACCCAGAGGTGTCCCACGAGCTGGACACTGCCTGGGCTGCCTCTCTGCCACTCCAGCAGGTCTGCAAAGGAGCATTTGGCACAGCCTTCCCTGGAGGGCAGGGGACACCGAGCGTGGTGACAGCAAAGCACCCTGGAAATTGCAGGAGAACTGGAACCAAGGGGCAAAGATGCACTGTCCCATTCAACCCTCTCTCTATCCAGGCTCACCCACACGCTGCCTGAGGGTCACAGCAAAGCCTGGTTCTCTGAAACCTTCCTCTGGGGATGCAGCACAGCAAACACTCTCTGCAGAGGTGGTAAGGAAAGCTTCCTCCCCATGCCCTGAGGCTGCTGCTATTCCTGGGGGCAGCCCTGTCTGCACTTCACAGCTCCAGTACTTCTCAGCAAGGGGTGTTTTTTCATGCTCTGAAAGGAATAATAAAGCTTCCATATGTCCTGCTACCTGCCCAGCAGCTGTCAGGGATATGACCCCCTCTGTGTTCAGCAGAAGGCACCTGTGCAATGGAGGGAGGTGAGAACCTTGACCTTCATCCATTTCTGTACCCAAATCCACCCTTGGGGACATCAGCAGCCCCGTTCTGGCCTAGAAATTGGCCCAGTTCTGATCTCTCAAACCAGTTCTGGATCTCAAGTCACACCTCTTTCCTTGAGAGCTTAACCCAGATAAAGTGAGACACCCAGATCCGAAGGGCCCAGGGCACCCAGTGCAGGGACCAGCCAGGACCAGCCCCGTGAGCCCCAGGACCCATCTCAGACTGTAGCCATTTCCAAGGTTTGGGGAGCCCTCCTGACTCTGAAAGAAATCTGGGGTCTGCTTAGAGACTCACGGGTCTCAAAAGGTGCCAACTTTTGGTCAAAAGTTGATTCTTGAAAAGGAATAATTCCCAACAACCCCCCACTGTTGTTGTTTCCCCTCAACCACTGATGTGGGGGATAAGGGTTGTCTCTTGGGGGGTCTGGGGATCTTTCCTCAGCCTCTGCAACACCCCTGCAGGGAGAGATGATAAATCCACAGCCAGACCAGACCAGACCAGCCACCAGCATTCCCAGGTAAATCCACAGGCAGGAAGAGGGGGAGAGGTGGTGCAGAAGCCATAAATCCCCAGAGAGGAAGCCAGCTGCTCAGGTGCTCAGTCAGCAAGGACCAACCAGCTGCACCAATTCCTCTGCAAACTGGAAGCAGCAAATAAACCAAATCCAGGCAAATCTCAGCAAAATTCCTTACACAGACACCTTTTTGAGAGGGCACAGCCAGCAATACTGTGAAGAGCTGGGGAGGTCTCTCAGAGTGCAGCACACCTGGGAAAGTGAAAGGCAGCAGCACTGCACCTCCTCCAGGCTGTCCAGGGCAGGAGAGGGTAGAGGAGAGCAGAAAAACCCGAGGGGGGAAGGCTGGATGTGGGAGTAAAGTTAAGACTGAACAACTCAGAGCCAAGTGAAACGACCTCTGAAACCCCCCAGCTGGCCAGGGACACACAGAATCGTGGTGCAATGTACAGAGAAGGATCAATTACTTGGAGTGACTCAGAAGTGACTAAGAACGACCAGATAGGATCAATTGTGAGGGCTGGAAATCACCCCAAATTTTGGAACAGTCCCACCCCAGGACACGGCCAGAAGGCAGGATCCTCCCCAGGGACAGGGATGCAGGAGGCACTTGCATCAGAGGTTTATAACCCACAGGTCTGTGCTGTTCTGGGAGTAAAAAGGGATTCCTGACCTCCTGTTTCTGATATAATCAAGGGGAAAGACCCGTTTTTACTCTAGAAAGCTCCTGTGCTGCCCCTCCCTCCTGTCCCTTCCTACAGTAGATGAGTCACTGTCTAGAACCTTTAGCAAAATACCTCTTACTGTTTATCAGGTCCCTGTCATTCCCCTGCCCACAGCACAGTGCAAGAAGTGTCGGGCAATGCTCCAGGTCCCTGTCCCCTTCCTGTGGAATGATGAGGGTCCCAAAGCTGAAGCCCCTCTGCCCAGCACCCCCCTTTCCGAGCTGCCCCTCCCCAGCAGCATCGCCCCCGCTCACCTCTCACCTTCTGCTGCCAGATGTCGTGTTTTTCGGGGGGGATTGCACGTGCTCCTGCGAGAGCAAACAGCACAGCCTCACATGCAGAAAATGCAAACTGGTGATTTTTAACTGTCTGCTCAACACTCTGCAAATCTTTTGCAAATCTACTCGCCCAACACTGCGCACTCAGGTCACTTCAGAATCGCAGGAGGGCAAAAGGAGCGTGTGGCTGCCCCAAGGGCAGCAACCGGAGCATGATTAGCACCAGGAGCCGAGGGGCACTGCCCAGGTCCAGTCTCACTAACCGAGGGAGTGGGTTCACCAGCAATCCAGACAGCTCAGGGGTCAGTTGCCAGAGATCCTCCACACAGCCCAAAGCAGATGTCACCTCGCTCACTCTGTGTCAGGGACAGCCCTGGCTTGGCTCTGACCTGCGGACAGCCCCAGTGCAACACGTGGGGCCAGGCAGCCCCACGGCGCTGCTCGGACCGGTCCCCTTGGCCGGAGCGGCCGCTGCAGTCGGTCAGGGCTGTCCCCGGGGACGGCGGCCCCAGCCCCCAGCTCAGCCGCCTCCCTGCAATCGTGCTTTTGCTCTCCACGACCTGCTGGCTTGGGAAGTTCTCCAAACTTCCCAAACAACACAGAGAACAGGCTTGTTTTCCTGCGTCTGCAGAAAGGCACGCTCGCAGCCCGCAGCCCCCGGGGCTCCCGTTCCCACGGCGGACCGCGGGGACGCCCGTGCAGAGCCCGTTCCGCCGGAGCCCCCCGGGCTGCACCGACCACCGGGGCTGCGTCCCGGGGTCCCGCACCCAGAGGCCTGGCTGCCCCCGGCCGCCGCCTCCCAGGTGGATACGGCATTCCCTAAAAACTCCACCGGGAAAACACCGACCCCCGGCGCGGGGCCGGAGCGCTCGCAGGGCGGGTGCCGGTCACCGCCGCGGGTCTGGGGGCGGCACGGGGGGCAGAGCCGCCCGCTCCCCGCCGGGGCGGACCCCCAGCCCAGCCCGGCTCCATCCGCAGCGGCGCCGGCATCGCCCGAACCGCCCCGGCATCGCTCCCCGCGGGCACCGGATCGCCCGAACCGCCCGCACCGGCACCGCCACCGACCCGCTCCGACTCCCCGGCAAACTTTCCTCCAACTCCCATCAGCAGATCCCGCGGCAGCCCCCGCTCGAGCCGCGGGTCGGTGCCCGGTACCTTCGGGTCCGCCCGGTGCCCCCGGGCGCGATGGTCGGTGCCGGCGGGGCCGCTCCAGGCGGGCTCCGGGGCCGCTCCCGCGGGGCTCCGGGGCCGCCGCAGCTCCGCTGCCGCCGCCGCTCCCGAGAGCCGAGGCCGAGTGCGGAGGGGGGCGGCGGGAGGGGCCGGGCCGGGGCCGCGGCTCCTCCCCGGCAGCGCCATTGGCTCCGCCGCGCTCCGCAGGGCCGCCCGCCCGCCCGCAGCCCCCGGCCCGCAGCCCCCGCAGCCCCCGCACCCCTCGGGCCCCGCATCCCTCGCGCCCCCCGGCCGCCTCCTCGGGGGCAGCTCTGACACGGGCAGAGAGCGACAAGACGAGGGGGAACGTCTTTGAACGGAAAGAAGGGAGATTTGGATCGGTTTTGGGAGGAGGTTCCTCCCTGTGAGGGTGCTGAGGCCCTGGCACAGGTTGCCCAGAGAAGCTGTGGCTGCCCCATCCCTAGAAGTGTCCAAGGCCAGGTTGGACTGGGCTTGGAGCAACCTGGGATAGTGGAAGGTGTCCCTGCCCACGGCAGGGTGTTGGAACTGGATGATTTTTACTGTCCCTTCCAACCCAAGCCATCCCACTATTCTGTGATTTTCCTCACTGTGAAAATAGAAGGATGTGCAGGTCTGATTTGCAGGGCAGAGGCTGTGAAGGGTATCACAGGCGCCGGGGGGAACATATTCACTTACAGACTCATACTTTTGCAGATGACACGCTCATTTTAATGCCCGGGATTTATGGAGCGAGCACGCCTGGCACTGCAGGCACCTGCCATGCACAGCACACGGGGACAGCAGGAGGAAAGTCCCTGCAGGGGCAGGAATGGCTCCCTCAAAGCAGCGGGAGGAGGAGAGCAGATACCAGAGAGAACGGGATGGGTTTTTCTCCAGCCAGAGGGTGCTCGTGGCCTCAGGGGAGGCAGCAGGCAATGAACAAGTGCCCCAGGCCAGGGGCAGAGCAGAGGAGGGCAAGGCAATAATCAGGGAAAGGAGAAACTGGGGGGGAATGCAGACCCCTGCAAACTGTACATGATGGGGAGATGATCCCTAACACAGCACCGTGCACACGGGAGGCTGTGACACAGAGCCAGGCTCCAACCAAACCGTGTCTCCACTCTGACATCCAGTGACAGCTTAATCTGGAAAGAGGGTGGATTTCCCTTATCTTTATGCACAGTATGCCCAGGCAAAACCACTTGAGAATTCACACTGACAGTCCTGGGAGCCAGGGTGTAGGTGAGCACACTCCCATACACCCTCTGCCAACACACACCTGCAGCAGCAATGTCATCTCAGTGCCCTCCTTTCTGCCTGCAATGGACTGGCTGGTACCAGGCAGGGTTTCTATCCCAGCTCTGCTGAGTTAGCAGGCACCTCATTTGCCAGCAGACAAGCCTTGCAGGTGAGGTAAGAAACAGGGATGTGGTGGAGCAGAGTTGTGCTTCAAGCCCTGCGAGGTGACATTTCCAGGTGTGCAGCTGTGCAAACAACCAGGACAAAGGCAGTTAATCTGGCTCTGCTCCACCTCAGCAGGTCCCTCAGCAGGGATGAGGGTGCTGGGTCTCTGCAGGGGAGGGGAGGTGGCTCAAAGGCTTTGCAGCCCCCAGCAGTCGGGAGGAACAGGGGCACAGATGCCTTGCGTGCCAAGATTCACTTCCAGAGCCAGGTGAAAGCAGGTGTTCATCGCTCCCCCCTGGGACATTTGGCTAACCAGGGCACTTACAGGGCTCCCCCTTTTCTCCCCAGCCTGCTCTGCTGTCCAGGTGTCAGCTTTGCCAGAGCCTGATAAAAATGCTGCACCTTAAGCAGTTCACCCTTTTGGAAAGCAGTTGTTGCACACACCGTGGAGCAGTGGCAAAAACGGACCTGTGAGAGCTCTGCAGGCACCCACAGCCCCCAGCCGTGGCTGAGAGGCACTAAGGGGGTGTTGGCAGGACCTCCAAGAAGCGAGTCTGTGTAGTTTGATTTGTTTCTGCTAAATATACTTTGCAGACAAAGTAAACATGCTTTGTCTCGGGGATTCTGTTTGTGCAATGCAGCAGGCTGAGCCACGCCACTGCTCTTTTGCTACCTGGGGCCTCACCTCGGCGGTGAAATGGACTTTAAATCACCCCCTATCACACAAATATTAGGAAAGACTTCACCAACAAATTTTCCATTTCCAGCTTAATCGGCTTGACAGCAGTTTTACAAACTATCTGAGCTGTGATGCTTCATGATCCTGCTTGGCTCTTTAGCTGTAAAAAAAGTAAGTGCTAAGGAACATTTAACTAAGCCTCCAAAACTGACACAAACCCTTTAGAGCTGCCACCTGGAGTCACAGATACTTCAGTGCTAAGAAGGGCAGATCAGACAATATTTGCAATGATGCAGCTGCCATCCAGGGAAGAGATGGTTCTTAAATCCCTTCCTCACTTTTTTTTTTAGGATTATGTAATTCCTAGGAGCATCCCATGCTCCCTGGTAACGAATGGCAGCATTGGCACAAAAAATGTTGGAAATAATGCTGAAAATTCAGCTTTTGCTCCATCCCAGCACCCTGCAGGGCTCGGGAATGTGTTTCCTGGCCCTGAGCAGGGCTAACTTTGGAACAACCTGAAACACATCAAAACAAGGAGCTGTAAAGCAGCAGCTGTGATTGATTAATCACAGTAGTGAAGCTGAAGGGTTTGATCATTTTCAAAAGCTCTTTAACATCTTATTCTCCAAAGAAGGGGAGGTTACGGCAGCCACAGAAGAAAGCAGAGCACAGACTGGAGCTGATTCCTCCCTGGAAAGGCTCTGGATGTCTGTGCTGCCTCGGACGGTGCCTCTGGATGCAGAAGATGAGGACAAAGGAACGAACGTGCCGAGCTGACGCGGCTGGGAAGGAAACACTCCGATGATGTCTCGGGCTGGTTCTTGAGATGTCCCCACGCCACCTGCACGGGGGTTCCCCTCCCAGCACTCCCAGCCTGGCCCTGCACACACCCTGAGCCCGACAGACACAGCACCCTGAGCCAGCACAGGAGGCACCCCCAGCCCTGCAGCCGAGGGAGGAATTGAACTTCCCATCCAACCTCCCTGCCCAGAGGAAGCTCACCCTTCCCCCCCACACACGTTATGGGAATGAATTATTTCAGATTCCTTGTATTTTTATGGGAACTCTGCTTTTTTCCCTTCTATGAGAAAAAATCCATTTCTCTCTAGTTTTCCTCTGGTGGGCAGTCATGTTGATTAATTTGCCCATTCCACCAGCCCCGCTTCCTCCCAAAGGCCAAGCCAAGCACTGCCCATGGCAAGCACATGGTCCAGTAACCATCACCCCACAGGGCTGCTCAGCGAAATCTTTTTCAACCACCAATTAAATACGGACCTATTATCTGGTCAGCAACTGATTGGCATTAATTAGGGTGTGCAGGGATCCAAGCCCCTGCAAGCAAGGCCAAAGGCACAGTCCCTCGCCCAGCACAGCAGCATTTGGGGGTTCCCCACGTGGGACCCTCAGCCCTGGGGCAGCAAAGAGCCCTGAGGATAACAGAGAACCAGGCTCTGCAGGACTATTGATCTGCCCTTGTGTGAAAGCTCTTTACCCTCCTTTCCCCAGGGAGGAAAAAGAGAAACCTGCTTCTTCAAAGCCATTTTCTTAATCAGCGGCCACAGCACGGGTCGGGGGCGAGGCAAAGGCACTGGAGGAAGGGAAACGAGCAAAGGGAAAGCAATATTTGGGCTTTTCACAAGGCACTGGGAGGCCCAGCTGCTGTGTGTGTTCACAGCTCAGTGCCTGCACATCAGAGCACACCAAAGGACACTGCAAAACCTGCCCAAGCACAGCAGCACCAGGACTGGGTGTAGGTCACCTTGTCAGATGGAGGGGGATTGCTACAAGGAGCTGCATCTTTCACTTTAAAAATCTACTTTCTGTCTCAGTCCAGTAAAACAACTGACCTGTGGTGAATGCCACACTGTCCAGGGGACACCATTCCAGACCTTCCCCTGGAATGTCAGCCTGTGGATTCAAGAGGGAGTTCTGAGGAGAAATGATGCTCTGCTGTGCAATGCAGCAACATCTGGTGTTCCTCTCTGCATGAGCTGTTCCCCTTCCCTCCCTTGGGCTGTACTGTGCTCTCCAGGCTCCATTTCCTGCACTGAGGCACGATGCCCTTTGGACTTCTCCCTTCCTGACGTTCAGCACTGAAATCAGAGTGGACAGCAGCAGGTTCTTTGCAAAACAAAGTCTGCTGAGTGTGTTTAAAACACTCTGTGCCTCTTCCCTGAGGTTTGTGGGCCCTCCTGCCAGCTCGTGCTGCCTGAAACAACCTGAAGGAGTGGCTGACCCTGGCTCCATCACACTGCTAAATATGCCCGCAGGATGTCCCTAGATAGGTTACTTTGATTTTGTCAGTTCATCCCCAACTGCAGTTTTTAATCCTGAGGATAACAAAGGCTGATCCGCAGCCGCCTTCCAGGATTTCCGGCTCTGGAAGAGCCACGTTGGCTCTGTGCTAGAACTGCAGCACCCAGGGAGCTTAAACAAAGAGCCCCAGGCAGTCCCAGCCTGAAACACTGGGAACAATGCCATCTTTCCCAGAGAGGGGAAGATGTTTGGAATTGCGATTTCCGAGGTCACCTTTTATCATCGAGGCTCACCACAGGCACAGCACAGAGCCCGAGAGCAGCCTCTGACAGCCCAAGCCAGCACTGGGATTTCCTGCAGTGCTGGAACAGCGGGTGCCCCGTCTCCAACAGGTCCTCTCCCTCATCCCTGCTGCCCACCCTGCAGCAACAGAAGGGAGCAGCTGCCCACCAGGCCCCTGTGAGAGGGATTTCAGTCCCGTTGCTGAGGAGGGCAAGGCTTGGTCCGCTAATGTCAGAGGCTAAAATAATTCTCTGCTCTCTTCTGAGAAATCCTCCCAGCAAAGCCTGGAAGATGCAGCGAGCCCAGACAGAAACATATTTCCCCTGTGGTTACGCTGCTGCCTGGCTGCCAGCACACAGACAGGCTATTTGTGCCTCACTAGGCAAAACCCAGTGAAGTGTTTAACTCGACAACGGGAGCGTTTCTCGGATCGATGCCACCT